GGAGTAGTAGTAGTAGTAGTAGTAGTAGTAGTAGTAGTAGTAGTAGTAGTAGTAGTAGTAGTAGTAGTAGTAGTAGTAGTAGTAGTAGTGGTAGTAGTAGTAGTAGTAGTAGTAGTAGTAGTAGTAGAAGTTGTAGTAGTAGTAGTAGTAGTAGTAGTAGTAGTAGTAGTAGTAGTAGTAGTAGTAGTAGTAGTAGTGGTAGTAGTAGTACTAGTCGGAGTCGGAGTAGTAGTAAGTAGTAGTAGTAGTAGTAGTAGTAGTAGTAGTAGTAGTAGTAGTAGTAGTAGTAGTAGTAGTATGTAGTATTTGTAGCTTTCGTAGTCTTCGTAGTAGTACCCTTTCCCTCCCCCTCCCTCTCTCCTTCTCGTCTGTGCCCCTCCCTGTGTCTCCCTACGGTGGGCGGACAAAAAGTGTCCCCACTTGTCGCGCCAACACAACTCGTCGTCAAATCACGTCGAACGAATATGTATACCCCCCTTTCCCCCAACTCAAAGTTGGCGGGGTTAGGCGGCAGGCCGCGCGCCAGGGACAAAATGTGGACACTTCAACTTTGGGTTTTTGGGGGGAGGGGTGCGAGGCAAGTGCATCATGCTGTTGCGGTTGTTATCACGTCGCGGTGTCTTGCCGCCCTGGGTGTGGACACTTTTGTCCGGGCACCGTAGTCCGTCCCCGCCCAGGCGCCCCCTGTCGCTTGGTGCTCATAGCCCCCCCCAGGGGGCCGCGCCCAGCCAAGCGGACGGCTGGCTCCGTGGGATGGGCGGGCTGGTGAGCCCCGCCGGCGCGTGCGCGGGCCCCGACCCAAACGCCTCTCGGTTGCTCGCTTCTCTTCGCTTTGCTCTCCTAGCCTTCCTTCCTTCCTTACTCCTCCTTCCTTCCTTCTTTCCTTCCTTCCTTCCTAGCCGTCCCTCTCTCATCCTTCCTTCCTTCCTTCCTTCCTCCTCCTCCTGCTCCTCCCCTCGAGGACCTGGCCCTTCTTCGGCGTCGACGTGTTCGCGGAGGGCTCTCCTCGCCGCGCAGCTGGCGCAGGAGCGTCCATGTTTTTCCGCCTCCTGCGCCGGCCCCGGGAGGGATGATGATGATGATGATGATGATGATGATGATGATGATGATGATGATGATGATGATGATGATGATGAGGACGAGGACGAGGACGAGGATGATGATGATGATGATGACGATGATGATGATGCTGATGATGATGATGCTGATGATGATGATGCTGATGATGATGATGATGATGATGATGATGATGCTGCTGATGATGATGATGATGATGGATGCTGCTGCTGTGATGATGATGATGATGATGATGATGATGATGATGATGATGATGATGATGATGATGATGATGATGATGATGATGATGATGATGATGATGATGATGATGATGATGATGATGATGATGATGATGATGATGATGATGATGATGATGATGATGATGATGATGATGATGATGATGATGATGATGATGATGATGATGATGATGATGATGATGATGAGGGGACGAGAACGAGACGAAGAGGACCAGGAGGCGGAGGGAGGGAAGGAGGGAGGGTGGGAGGGAGGGAAGGAGGGAGGGGGGGAGGGGGGGATGGGAGGGAGGGAGGGAGAGGGCAGAGCTGCCGGTCCTGTTCGGGCTGCCGAGAGCGCCGTCGGAGGCAGCGGCAGGGACTGGGGTCGCTTCCAGGAAGAGGCGCGGCAAGTTCGAGCATCCTGGTGGCACGGTGCCTCTGGGAGCAGGGGGCAGTTGCTCACCGCCCACCAAAACTACCCCAACCCAAGCCGAAGGCCACGATTTGCCCTCCATTTCCAGTGGGGGGGGGGTCGGGAAACATCGAAAAAACACATATGAAGCCCGTACCCCACCCAACCCGAAATGCGGGTCTTCGGGTTGGGTTGGGGTGGTCTGGTAGGTAGTCAGTTGCGGACAAGTAGCTGCCACTAGCGAAGCATCCCACGGGGACGAGTGCGGCGGACCTGGCGGGCAAGTGCCTGGCCAAACACCCCGCATGGGCAAGCTCCTCGTCATCCTAGGGTTGCAGCTGCCCTCGGAGGCTGAGGGCGAAAACGCGGGTGAGCTGGCGATCCTGAAGGTGGGCGAACCCGCGACAACCCGCGTGGAAGAGATCGAGCCATGCCACGTGCTGAGGGTGGTATGGCGGTTCAAGACCTTCATCCTGGTCTACGCGACGGCGGTGTTCGCGATCGGCTTGATCCCTGGGTGGCAGTGCCAGTCCGGAGGTCGTGGGGCGGAAGGCAAGATCTCGAAGGGGGCAGTGGCCGACGGGCAGGAGGGGCGCGTGATCACGATCGCGCTGTTCCTCGAGATGTGCACCGTCGCTGCGGTGCAGGTCGAACTACGGAGCAGAGGCCCGCCAGTGTCGGGGCTCCATCGAGACGTCATCAGGCGGATGGAGGCGCAGCCGTGGGCGAACGCAGGAGTTCTCCCGCGTGACCAGGCAGCGCAGTGGCGGCGCGTCCTCAAGGCGGACCTGGCGGATCTCAGGTCAGATGAGGACGTTGAAAAGTGGGTTCTGAGGGTTTCCACTGGGAGGGAGCTGCGGTCTGTCGTGCCCGCGCTCGCGGACTGTTGACAGTGCGCCCATCCGCGGCTGATCGGTAAAATTTGAAAACCAGCCCAGAAGCTGACCGTGTCGAGACCGTGCTGCGCTGTGGACTTCATTCAGGTTTGGATGCGATCTGACTGCGGAGGTGGCAGCTGCTCTGTTGTGTTCGGAAGTGTGCTCAATGGGGTACCAACTGCTCCTGGACGGGTTCCTGGGTGGGTCCCGAGGTCGATCCCCAGTCTCCTTGACTGAGGCCCGAGGGGGCGTGGAGGGACCCACACATCTGTACGTAGTCGAAGGGGCAGAACAGCATGGGATGTCTGCCAGTGTTGGGCACCGTAACTGCTTGGGCTCGGGAGCGCAGGCAGAGGAGAAGGGTTTCACTCCGCCCAGCATCGCAAACATGTTCGATCCTTCTGCTTCTCCTCTCTTGGCGGTGCCCCCATATGCTCTCCTCTCTTGGCTGCTTCTCCTTCTGGCTGCTTCTCCTTCTGCTTCTCCTTCTGCTTCTCCTTCTGCTTCTCCTTCTGCTCCTTCTGCTTCTTGCTTCTCCTCTCTTCGCTGCTTCTCCTTCTGCTTCGCAATCTAGGCCTCCCATATTGGGTCCGAGTAGATGGTGTCGAAGGATCGCTCCTCATCGCCGATGCATCGGTGACGCGGTTCGATGTGGAGCCCGATTTTCTCCACGCCGACGACACTGATGCATCGCCGACGTCGCCGATGCATCGTCGATACACCGCCGATGCATCGGCGATGCATTGGCGATGCGGCGCGAGCCTCCGACCCCATCTGGTCAGACCCCATCTACTAGGAGGCTTCTACACAGGGGGGTGGCCCGAGGGGGGCATATTTCCAAGAACGCGTCGGGGCTTCTGAGAAGGCAGGGGGGGGGCTTCTTCAAATCCGACCAGCTTCTAAGACGCCTTCTTAGACGCTTCTGGGGCCTTCGGAGACGGCCCTTGCCTTCCAAGCAGCTCCTCCGCCCTCGTAGACACCCCCACCACTCTCGCACCAGCCTCTTGTGGGCACCGCCAGTTCCAGAGGCCGAGACTGCCGAGCAACATTTTTGATCCTTCTGCTCCGTTTCTCTTCCCAGACATCCGACGATATGACTTAGCAGTGTGCGGCCCCAGGGGTCTCACCCCCTTCCCTTGCGGTTTTCCGCCCCAGGATCTCTTTCTGCTGGACTCGGGGCCCCAAGGCTGGGCCGCAGAGGCCGGCATCGAGGAAGCACGCCTCGATTGGAAGCGTCACATCGTCGGAGGCCAGGGCTCTGCTCTGTTCGGCAACGTGCAGAGGGGGGTAGGGGGAGGGGGGAAGGCTTCTCAGAAGCACCCCTGCTTCTTAGAAGGCGCGGGCCTTCTCTATAGACGTGAGGCCGAGGCCTTCTAAGAAGCAGGGGTGCTTCGAAGAAGCCTTCCCCCCTCCCCGTACCCCCTTTTGCGCGCCGCCAATCTTTGCCTCCCCGAGAAATTAGAGCTCCCCTGCAGCGGACACGAAGTCGTCCTTCTGCGGGGCCTCCAAGGCGCCGACGCGCGGCAGGGCCAGCGCGGTGGCGGCCCGCGCCGAGGCGCCGCACCCGCGCGGGGCCTCTCCAATCGGGGGGAGGGCCTCCTCCACCTCCTCCTCCTGCTCTTCCTCCTCAACCTCCTCCTCCTCCTCCGACTGCTCGCATACTCCGAGGAGCATAAACCAACTACTCCTTCTGGCCTTCTCCCTCCTCCTCCACCTCCTCATCCTCATCCTCAGCCCTCCCCCACATCATCCTTGCGGTCCTCCTCCTCCTCCTCCTCCTCTCCTCCTCCTCTCCTCCTCCTCCTCCTCCTCCTCCTCCTACTCCTCCTCCTCCTCCCTCCTCCTCCTCCTCCTCCTCTCTCCTCTCTCCTCTCTCCGCTCTCCTCTCTCCTCTCTCCTCTCTCCTCTCCCCTCTCCCCTCTCTCCTCCTGCGCCGTGACTGGGGGCGAGCGGGGACGACTGCGGACGGAAGCCAGCGACAGGGCGGCAGTGGCGGGCCAGGAGCCAGGCGGGGAGAGCGCGCAGCAGGGGCACGGGAAGCGGGGCGGTGCGGGGAGGAGCGGAGGCTCGTTGCACGGTGTCCGGTCCCGAGCCAGACCTCCGGGTCGGCTCTGGAGGTCGCCGCGGCGATCGCGAGGGCCCCAGATCGGGGCCCCTTTCCCCCCTTTGCCCCCCTGTGCCCCTTTGCCCCCAGGAGTGGTATGCCCCTCTGCCCCCCCCTGGCTCTGCGAGGTGCACGTGCGGCCCACGAGTGTCACTGCAGCGACAGAGGGCTTCCAGGTTATGTTTCAACACATGCAGTCATTCTTCTTGGGGGGGTTGGGATCGAAGCCTCACCGTCCGTGCAGCTTCCATTTTGAACCTTTTTCCTCCCCCATCCCTCCAGAATCGAATCTTCTTTTGGGGCTCTGACCTCGACACTCGCACAATTTCCGACCGGCGGGGCATGTTTCTCGCTGGGCTCGTTTGTGCGTGAACACCGCGGTAGGGCCAGCGCTCCTGCGGGGCAGTCGATTTCTCGATTTGTCCAGGTTATTGCTGCTTTCCAATTGAACCTGCCTCTCCTCCCCCTCATTCCTCGTGATTCTTCTACCCCCCTCCTGATTCTGCTTCCTTTGGCACTGGAATCTGGATTTCCTTGAAGGGTAGGGGTCTCATGGAGCATCCCTCCTTCTCGCTTCCTCCCTTCCTCCTTCCCGAGGGGAGGAGGAGAGAGGGCGAGGACGAGGAGGAGCATGATGATGATGATGATGATGATGATGATGATGATGATGATGATGATGATGATGATGATGATGATGATGATGATGACGATGATGATGATGATGATGATGATGATGATGATGATGATGATGATGATGATGATGATGATGATGATGATGATGATGATGATGATGATGATGATGATGATGATGATGATGATGATGATGATGATGATGATGACGATGATGATGATGATGATGATGATGATGATGATGATGATGATGAGGAAGGAGGAGGAGGAGGAGGGAAGCAGTCGGAGGAGGAGGAGAAGGAGGAGGAGGGTGAGGGTGAGGAGGATGAGGAGGAGGAAGAGAAGCAGTCGGATGAGAAGGAGGAGGAGGAGGAGGAGGAGGAGGAGGAGGAGGAGGAGGATGGGGGAGGAGAAGGAGGAGGTGGGAGGAGGTCGAGCCCTCCTCTCTCTTAATTCGAGCATTTATTTGGATCCTCTTTCCTTCCCTCCTGCGTCCCCAGGTCAGCCGAAGCCTGCCGTTCATGCCCAAGCCCCAGAACCTCGCCGGGTTCGTCGGGGAGGAGCAGGATCTCCTCGGGGGGGGTCTTCCGCACCGACTCTTCTCTGACTGCAGCCCTTGGAGGAGAGGATGGCGTGAAGAGGTGGGAACCCAGATCGGACGATATTTTTCTTCAATCCGGGTGCTTCTCCTCGATTTCGGCCTCTGGGGCCCGTCATCGGGACTAGGGGCCATCAGGCATGGATCTGGGGCGTAAGATTGGCCCCGGGAAGGGGTCGGGCCCTCTGGGGCCGCGCACTGAACAGATCAGGTCGTCAGATTTGTGTGTGGGAATCATAGAGAAGGACGGTGGCGACGGTGGTGGTGGCGATGGCGATGGCGACGGTGATGAGGGGAAGGAGGACGAGTCCGTGGGAGCAGGGGCGTGTCCAGGATGTGGAAGTGAATTGAGGGTGGGTTTAGGGTTTAGGGTTTAGGGTTTAGGGTTTGGGTCTAACAGGGCAAGGCCAGGAATACCTACCTGCATAGGCACTCACCTGCGGTGGCTATCAATCCCCCCCGCATCTCCACCCCCACATAAAGATCATCTCTCCTCTCATGTTATACCGTGGTTGTAGCATAGCATAGCATACCATAGCAAGCCTGGGAGCAAGCGCTTAGCAAAGAGGCGGCGGCCGCGCGCGCGCGCGGGAGACCCTAACGGGCGGGTCGGGTCGGGTCGGGCGGGCGGACCCTAACGGGCGGGTCGGGTCAGGTCGGGCGGACCCTAACGGGCGGGTTGGGTCGGGAGGGCGGGACATTCAAGTATGGTGCGTGTACACTTGACACGCGTGAACCCTAACAAGCGGGTCGGGTCGGGCGGGCGGACCCTAACGGGCGGGTCGGGTCGGGTCGGGCGGACCCTAGCGGGCGGGTCGGGTCGGGCGGGCGGGGCATTAAAGTATGGTGCGTGTGCACTGGACACGCGTGAACCCTGACGGGCGGATCGGGTCGGGTCGGGCGGGCGGACCCTAACGGGCGGGTCGGGTCGGGTCGGGCGGACCCTAATGGGCGGGTCGGGTCGGGCGGGCGGGACATGAAAGTATGGTGCGTGTACACTTGACACGCGTGAGCCGTAACAAGCGGGTCGGGTCGGGTCGGGCGCACTCGAGGGTTCGCCCGACCTCAACGTTCTTTGCATAGGATTGTGGTGGTTTACATAGCGGGACGTAAAGATCCCCATAGCAGGCTCGATCAAGGGGTGCGCCTGGGAGCACGCATGATCAGTTTATAGATTTTTGCATAGGATTGTGGTGGTTTGCATAGCGGGACGTAAAGATCCCCATAGCAGGCTCGATCCAGGGGCGCGCCTGGGAGCACGCATGATCAGTTTATAGTATGTTTTGCATAGGATTGTGGGGGTTGACGTGAAGATCCCCATAGCAGGCTCGATCCAGGAGTTCGGATCGGACAACGGGAGGCATGGGGGTGAAGGATTTAGGGTTTATTAATAATAGAGATTAGAGATTTAGGGTTGGAGCACGGTGATCAGGGCAGGGGATCAAGAGGAGCTGGAGGTGGGGAAAGGGGGATAATCCTACTGCTGATGATATGAATAATTCTGATGATGCTGCTGATGAGCAGGTTATTGCTGCTGACGACGCTGCTGCTGCTGATGATGGTGGTGGTGGTGGTGTTGACGGATGAGGAGGAAGATGAGGAGGGATAAGGAAGAGTGGGTATGAGGAGCAATGATGTATCAGGATTGATGGATAGATGGATGGAGATGATGAAAATAATGATGTTGCTGTTGCTGATGCTGCTGCTGATGATGCTGATAATGTTGCTGATGATACTGATGAAGAGGATGTTGCTGGTGATGGTGTTGATGCTGATGATGATCATGATGATGAAGATCTCGATGACGCCACTGACAACGACGACGGCGATGGTGATGATGCTGATGATGATGAGGATGATGACGATGGAAAGGACCATTCTGCTGCTGCTGATGATTATTACGATGATGCTGATGGTACATAAGACTATGCTGTTGACGCTAATGACGATCACGATGACGACAATGTCGGTGGTGATGATGACAACAACGATGACTAGGACGTCGCCGGTGACGACGACGATGACGATGATGATGATGCTGATGATGATGCTGCTGATGGTGATGATACAGATGATGATACAGATGATGATGATGATGATGATGGTGGTGATGATGATGATGCTGATTCTGATTATGCTACTGATGATAATTACGACTATCATGATTAATCTGCTGTTGCTGGTGGAGGGGATGGCAATGCTGTTGATGAAGCTGCTGCTGCTGATGATGATGATGATGATGCTGCTGATGATGTTGCTTACGATGGTGCTTGTGCTGTTGACGATTATGATATGATGATGCCGATGACGATGGTTACGATGGCTGATGCCCATGATGCTGCTGTCGATGATGATGATGATTCTGATGATGATGCTGATGATGAGGCTGATGATGATGACGATGATGATGATGATGATGCTGATGCTGATGCTGCTGCCGATGCTTATGATTATGTTTGGTAAGTAGGATGATGCTGATGCTGTTGATACTGATCATGCTGTTGTTGTTGCTGTTTTTGTTGCTGCTGTTGCTGCTGTTGTTGTTGTTGCTGCTTTGATGATGCTGTTTATTATTGTGATGATGATGCTGATGATGATGAATAGATGATGATGATGATGATGATGATGATGATGATGATGATGATGATGATGATGATGATGATGATGATGATGGTGATGATGATGATGATGATGATGATGATGATGATGATAAAGATGATGATGATGATGATGATTATGGTGATGATGATGATGATGATGATGATGATGATGATGATGACGATAACGATGACGCCACTGACGACGACGACGACGGCGGCGAGAGTGCTGCTGCTGATGATGATGCAGCTGTTGGTGGTGATGATGATGACGCTGATGATGACGATAATGCTGATGATGATGCTGCCGATACTGATGATGCTGATGATGATGCTGATGATGATGCTGCTGATGATGATGATGCTTAGGGTGTTGCTGCTGTTGACGACGATCCTGATCTCATTCTGATGATGGTAGTGGTTGTGGTGGTGGCAGTGGCAAGGTGAACGATGGTGGGGCGTCTGCTGCTGCTGAGGAGGAGGAGGAGGAGGAGGAGGAGGAGGAGGAGGAGGAGGAGGAGGAGGATGAGAGAGTAGGAGGAGGTCCACAATGATGATGTGGGGGAGGACTGAGGATGAGGATGAGCAGGAGGAGGAGGAGGAGGGAGAAAACCAGAAGAAGTAGATGTTTTGTGTTCCTCGGAGTATGCGAGCAGTTGGAGGAGGAGGAGGAGGAGGAGGAGGAGGAGGAGGAGGAGAAGGAGGAAGAGGAGGATGAGGAGGAGAAGGACGGGGGAGTGGGAGGAAGGAGATGGGGAGGATGGAGAAGGGGGAGGAGGGAGAGGAGGGAAGGGGAGGAAATGGTTGACTGGCGTGGGCCCTGGTCGATCGGGAGGGCCCCCGTATGATTTAAGGACCTTCAGAGACACCCCCACGCCATTCAGAGAGGTCGCCCCTCCTGTTCGCCGCCGCCGCCGCCGTCGCCGTCGCCGTCGTAGTTCTTCGGGACGGACGCGGGTGCGTACGGCCGTGCAGAGGGCGGCGCGGGCGGGCCTCGAGTCCCAGAAGGGGCGGCAGACCGCTGGCAGCGCACCGCGGGCGCTGGCTGCAAAAACTGCTAGGCGAGGGGGCCCCGCCGCGGCCGCCCCCGACCTCCAGAGGCACCCCGCCCCCCCCCAGGGGCCTCCTGAGGCCTCGGCCTGGGATCGGACGCTGCGACAAACGCTGCAGCATCGCAAACCGTCCCGACCCGAGCCCCAGGTAAGGGGGCCACATGCGAACCCCACCCCATACCCCCCACGATTTTGGAGGGGGAGGGTGGGGTTCGCATGTGGCCCCCTACCCAGACCCCATCTTTCTGCAGCACCTTCCGAGCCAGCTCGACCTGTGAGGGGCCTCCCGGGGCCCAGGGACCGGGCGAAAAACACGCCTGGTGTGCGGACACCCGCAGCGCTCGGACCTCGGGGGCCGGGGTTCCCCGGTGGCCAGAAAGAACCGGGGGGAGGGCGGGCGGGTTGGAGGGGGAAGAGGAGAAAGGGGGAGGAGGGGAGGAGGAGGTTTGGAGGAGGAGGAGGTTTAGAGGAGGAGGAGGAGGAGGAGGGGGGAGGAGGAGGAGGAGGATGAGGAGGAGGAGGAGGAACAGGAGGAGCAGGGGAGGAGGAGGAGGAGGAGGAGGAGGAGGAGGAGGAGGAGGAGGAGGAGGAGGAGCAGGAGGAGGAGGAGGAGGAGGAGGAGGAGGAGGAGGAGGAGGAGGAGGAGGAGGAGGAGGAGGAGGAGGAGGAGAGTTCCCCGGGGGGCCCGGCGTCGCGTCCCCGTCACGACGGCGGGCGGTCTGGGCCACAGGGGTGCCAGGAAGCCTGGCGTCGTGGTCCTCCTCTCAGGACGGCGCGCGGGTCGGGGCTCGCGTGGGGCGCGCCAGGGCAGCCTCGGAGAGGGGGGGGGGGGCAGAAGGACGCAGATGTGCGACGAGTTTGTGGCCAATCTGGGCGTTTTCCTTAGGTGTCGGCCTGCGGGAGCACTTTCTCGCGCCCTGGGGCCATTCAAAATTGGCCCGGGACGAGAAACTACCCTTGGGGAAGAGATCGAAGCCTTCGGGGCCGTGCGTTGAACACATTGATTCTTATTCTTCCCGATGTCTGGGGAGGAGGTTCGAGGGTTCGATGGTCGAGGGTTGACAGCTTGACGGTCGAGGTCTTCGGACAATGTGAGCCCTGTATGGGGGAGGAGGCGAAACGGAATGGACGCTTCGAGCGGTCGAGACAACACCAGCCAGCATGGGGGTGCCACGGGATGCGGCTCGAGACTCCAGCCCAAAACTGGCCCCGAAGGGTCCAGAGAGGGGCCAGGAGGACAGGCGCAGCATCCACGGGCACTCCCGCGCCAACCCGTGCTCCCTCACGAGGGAGAGCACTGCCGTCCCAGCGGCACCCCCGCGGCCTGCGCGGCGCGGCGGGGAGCAGAGCAGGGCCGCCGCGCGCGCCTTCCTCCGCCGCCCCAGGCAAGGGCAGATCGAGCCTCGAAAGCGGCCTCCTTCAGGCCGGGGCCACCGAGTCGCCCAGTCCTTGCCGACGGACTGGCGCTGCTGCCTTGACCCTCCGAGCAGGTGCAGCACCCCTTGCTGGGGACCTGGAGCCTCCCGCTCCCACCCGGCAGAGCAGGGCAGGCGGCTCCGGAGGCGGTTCTCCAAACTAGCATCAAGTCGGGCCTGTCCCTCTACAGGGGGAATATTCAAAAATAGTAAAGAATAGTACGGGGACTATTTTTTGACAATCTTTGAGCAGTTTTGGTGTATTTTTGTTTTTTTCATTTTTCGTCCAACATCGGCCTGTAGGGGGACAGGCCCGACTCAAAACTAGCAGCTCCACGCACGCCATGTGCCCGTCTCCCTGCGAACTCCTCCGCCCTGCTGTGCTGCAGCCCCGCCTGCGCGACCTGCAACGCTGGGCACTCCCCGGGGGGACTCGCGGCGGCAGCAGCTGCGTCAAAAGCACCCGCAGGAGGGGCGTCATCAGGTGCCCGCGGCAGCAGAGGCGCGGAGCACGGCTCTGGCGGGGCGGGTTGAGCAAGCACGCCTTCATCAGCGCGCTCTCGATGGTGACCTTCCCTGGAATCATCGTCAAGTTGAAAGGACACGACCGAAGTCGTCAGGGACAGCCTTGCCCGACGAACTGTACATTAGCAGTAGCCGCAGCACCGCCACCTCACCCTTGAGCTGCTCAGCTCCGGCGCGAAGGGCACGCACTTCGCAGAATCCGGGAGAAGCTCCTCGATCATCTTGGCAAGAGTGATGGCTGGCCCGGTCTTGAAACACCGATGCAAGCACTCCACGTGGCGCCCGTTGCTGCGGTCGCGCTGCTCGCGTCGGCGACGCGCAGCTCCGGACCTGGCACCAGCAGGGGAGGCAGGCATGGCACCGACGGGGCGCGCCGGGGGAGCAGGCACCGCGGGGGGGGCGGCGCTTGCCAAGGCGACCGAGAGCCCGATGCTGGGGAGCGTTGACCCAGAGCGGTCACCTTGGAGGAAAGAGGAGGAGGAGGAGGGGGAGGGGGAGGAGCGAGGAGCGAGGAGCGAGGAGGAGGAGGAGGAGGAGGAGGAGGAGGAGGAGGAGGAGGAGGAGGAGGAGGAGGAGGAGGAGGAGGAGGAGCAGGATGGGAGATCGGGGAGGAGGGGGAGGAGGGAGGAGAGGAGGAGGAGGGGAGGAGGGCTGGGAGAGGACGAGGAGTCTCTTGGAATTCCGGACTCCACACGCTGTGGTGCTTGCGAGCTCACCCTCGCGGCGGAGGCGCTCTCGCGCCTCTCTCTCTCTCTCTCTCTCTCCCCTGGGGCATATCGCCCAGGGCGGGCCCTCGTGCGAAGGAAGCAGCCGGTCGCCGGCCGGTTTTCGGTACCGCCCAAAGGTGGTGTTAGGTCGGGCCTGTCCCTCTGCAGGGGGAGTGTTCAAACACGCAAAGCGACAGTCCGGGGGACGATCTCGTGACCGCTGTCTGCATATTCTTGGAGCATTCGTTTTGTGTTGCCATTTTCGAACTCTTCGTCCAAGCATTTTCCCTGTAGGGGGGCACGCCTGGCCCAAGCATAGTTCTGCTGCGTGAACGTCACTCAGGAGGGGAAAAACACACACAGACACAACTTCCCAGGAAAATCTGCGAAGATGTGGGAAGGGGGGGGGAAGACCCAAACCCAGAAAATGTGGAAAAATAAGGGGAATCCTTATATTAGTGTCTATGTGTTTGTGTGTCCCGGGGCCCCTTCAGGGCGTCGGCCGCCGCAGGGGCGCGGCGCAGGCTCCGGCAGTCTGCGGCGCCAGTGCGCGCGCCGCGTCGGGCGCTGGGTCGTCACACTGCCGCTCGGGGGAGCGGCGCGCACGCACTCACAGACAGAGAGCAGGGCTGCCGTGCCGTATCTCCTCCTCTTCCTCCTCCTCCTCCTCGTCCTCCTCCTCCTCCTCCTCCTCGTCCTCCTCCTCCTCCGCCTCCTCGTCCTCCTCCTCCGCCTCCTCCTTCGCCTCCTCCTCCTCCTCCTTCTCCTCCTCCGCCTCCTCCTCGTCCTCCTCCTCCTCCGCAGCATGCGGCCCCGCTGCAGCAGTCGCGGCCGCACCGCGGGGAGCGACGCGCACACGCACACAGAGAGCGCAGGGCTGCCGTGCCGTGTGTTTTCTAGTGTCGGGCGTGCGCCTCTCCAGTGTGAGGGCAAAAAAGCAGTCAGAGAATAGTCAGGGGAGGATTATTTGACCACGCTTGGGCATTATTGGAGTATTTTTGGGGTCTCTTGTATTTTTCATCCACTCCAGCAGAAACGCGTTGCTCTAGTGTTAGGGCAAAAAACAGTCAAAACATAGTCAGGGGGCGATTTTTTGACCACTCTTGGGTATTTTTTGGGCATTTTTTGGGTGTTTCGTATGTTTCATCCAAACTCAGCATGTGGGGGGACATGCCCGACCTAATGCTAGTATGTCCTTCTGCGTCACTTGGTTACACTCTCGGTGATGAAGACAGGCCAGGTGCGCGCGCCACACCTGGCGTCTGATCCCTCCCACCCTCTCCCGTCCCACGGCGCTGATTTATTGTCTGTCGGCTGACGGGTGTCGTGGCGGATTTGGGTTCGCCACATGACCACATCGTTCGATGCGCAATCAGAAAGGGGACCTGTATACATTGGATGAGGGTGGGGTCGTCGCGGATAAGCATGTGGATCAGCAGGAGTAAGAGGATGATAAGGGATGATGAGGACGATGAGGAGGAGGAAGGAAGGAGGAGGTGGAGGAGGAGAAGGAGTAGGTGAGCAGCAGCAGCCCAGCAGCAGGAACAGGAGTCGGATGAGCATGAGGAGCAGGAGGACCAGAGGAAGGCGGAGTGAAAGCAAGGGTGGGCGACAACGACGATAAGGGAACACAGCGCCACCCGGAACGACGGGATGCCAGCGCTGCAGCGGGAAAACACCACTTTGGAGCGAGAAGCAGACACGTCCCAACCGAACACGCAATCGAGAAGCAGCACGGTCAATCCGCACAGGAAGGAGGAGCCGCTTCCCAAGGTCACCCCTGCATCCTTTCGCGCCTCTCTCCCCCCCCTCGGGCCAGACGGCGCCTACCAGGCACGATGTGTGCTTGCGACGGCGAGGCGTCATGACAGCGTGTTGCGGGCGCGCAGGAGGGGGAGGAGGAGGAGGAGGAGGAGGAGGAATAGGAGGAGGATGCGGAGGAGGAGGAGGAGGAGGAGAAGGAGGAAGAGGAAGACAAACGCTACATCACACTGGCTCAAGTTCGCGCAACGGCAAAGAAGAGGAGGAGGACGATGAGGGGGAGGAGGAGGGGCCCACGAGGCCGCCAAGAGGGGTGGGCCCCAGGAGTTCGACCCGCTCGGCTTTTCGGACACCTTCGACATGAAGTGGCTTCGCGAGTCGGAGCTCAAGCACGGCCGCGTCTGCATGCTTGCGACCGTCGGCTTCGCCACCCAGCAGTACGCCACTTTCCCGGGAATGCAGCCCACGGAGAACGCCCTGAACGCGGTGTACACCGAGACCAATGGCCTCATCACCCTTATCTTCCTCGCTGGCTACATCGAGAGCCAGACCTACGGCGGGAAGGTGACGATGCTGGACATGTTCGAGGGCGGGGAGAACAAGGCGGGCGCCAGTAGAAAGTCGGCCGTGAGGGATGGTTTGAGGAGAGACCATGGACTCCAGAGCCTCGTTTCGGGCCGATCGACCATCTGGATGATCGGCCTGACTGTCCAGATGAAGCTGCGATGGATGACCTGCACACGCAAGCGACGAAGACGACAGTGCCATTATTCAGGGGCAACGATGGAGAGGGATAGGCTCAGGGGGGGGGTCATCAACCCCCAATCGTCCATTCATCGCCGATAGGGGCCCGATGGCCCCTTCCCGCCCAGGGACGTGCGGATCCGCTATCGGGGGCCTATCGCCGATCTATCGGCGATGCATCGCCTATTCCAGGCTGATGTTTCCCCGCCCCCTGAGCCGGGTCCCGGGTCCCCCCGCCTGTTGCTCCTCAGCCATTGCTAGGACATCACGTCGCGTCTCTTTTCGCCTCGCGTGCCCCCTCCCCCGGCTCGGACTCCTCCGTGCAATTCAGGGCCCCCCCGGAGTCGAAACCTCTGCTTCTTAGAAGGCGCGGGCCTTATCTATAGATGTGAGGCCAGCGCCTTCTAAGAAGCAGCCTCCTTCTAAGAAGCCCTCCCCCCTACCTCCACCCCCTTGCGCGCGCCGCCAAGTGTGGCCTTCGATTCCCGCTGCCCTGCCACTTCTGTTGCCCCCAAGGTTGCACCACAGGCCCTGCGAGTCTCCAAGAAGGCCGCCACACCACACACTGCCCAGCGGCCTCGCGTCCACATGTGAGGGCAAGGGATGCCACGCGGGGGCAGAGGCAGCGGTAGCCCCGCTCCCTGGGGGACTGGAGAGAGGAGTCCAGAGAGAAGGCTCCAGTTCGACCACCGTTGTCGATTGGGATGGTTGCCATATGGAAATTTCGAATCCGTCGGTGGGGCCAGACGTGTCACGGTCGTGGGCTTCCCGTCAGGTTTTCGTTATTCTGCTCCCGTGATGGTGGGAGACACATTTGGGAGCGTCCTGCCCCTTCCTTCCCCCTGCCCCTCGCCTTTCCCTCGTTCCTTCTTTTTATAGTTTGTCATCATCCTCTCACTTCCCCTTCCCTATTCCCCCTCCCCCATCTCCCAGTTCCACGCCCCTCCCCTTCGCTTCTTCCCCTCCTTCCGCCATCCCTTCTCGTGTTGAGAAGGCCTACCCCCCTCTCGCTTCCCTCTGGGCTTGCCGTCGAGACATAGTGGGCACTCGGGTGTCCTGTGTGTGGGGAGGGGGCCAGCGAGGTGCCCGGTGACTTCAACTTCGGCAGCGGCTTCCTGAAGGGCAAGACTGACAAGGAGGCACGGGCGCGCTGAGGAGGAGGATGAATAATAATTATAAACAGAAGCAGATGCAGAAGCATAATACTAATAAGAATAATAATAATAAGAAACATACTAAGACAATGAAGACTAACACAAACAAACACATTAGAATTAGACGAATACTCCTAACAATAATAATAAGACGAAGACTAAGAAAACCACTACGAATAGTAATAAGGCTAATAACAATACGGAAACTAGGAGTACTAATAAGGAAACGATTCAGAACAACATTGATAGGAATGATACTACGACTAAGACGAATAATAATCATATTGGTAATAAGATTCAGCATATCACTAACACTACTCATATTATTAATATTATGAAGAACCATATTAATAGTATGACAAATCATAACGATGATGTTAATTCTAATAATACGTGAGAAGACAAGTACTGCTACTCAAAATAATAGTAATACTGATGCTACTAATAAGAATAATGAGGAAACTAATACTGAGAGTAAGAATATTATTACGAACATGAATAATGATAAGACAACTAGTAGTAATAAACATAGTAGTGCTAATACAGACAATAAGTTTACTAATGATAACAAGACGAATAATATAATGACTAGTTTTAACGATCGCACTACTAAGAATACGAACAATATTAATATTACTAAGAAGACTAATATTCCCAATAAGGAGAATAGGAAGAGGAGGAGGAGGGCGAGGAGGAGGAGGAGGATGGGGAGGAGTGCGCGCTGGGAACATTCGTCGGGATGGGAGCGAGGGCGAGATTCAGGACGAGGACTTGCGGTGGTACACGCTGGCCGCAGTGCAGTCAGCTTGGCCGAGGCGGGCGCCGCACTCTCGCCTCGCCAGAGGCCAGGCGCCGGGCAGAACAACGAGCAGACACCCCGCGGGCCTCGGCTCTCGATCCTGGCCGTGCCCCATCCCGCCGTCCGCCCTGATGCGGGCGCGCCCCCGCCGTGGAGCAGCATAAATATTGCGGCGCCTGGGGCGTCGGCCTCGTTGGCTCCCGGGCGCGGGCCAGCCAGGACCATCAGAGTTAGCTGGCGGAAGGGGGGGGGGAAGATGGGGGGCGTGGGGAGGGAGTGAGAGGGTGGAAGGACGAGTGGGCTAGATGGGGGGAGGACAAGGGGAGGGGGTTTTAGGGAGTGATGCCCGAAGACCTTCTAGAGCCCCGTTTGCCCGCCTGAAGCGGTGTAGAACCACCCTACCTCGTCCTCCTCTTCCTCCTCCCCCTCGTCCACCTCCTCTTCCTCCTCCTTCTCCTCCTCCTCCTCCTCTCCCCCCTCCTCTTCGTCCTCCTCCTCATCCTCCTCCCCCCCCGCTGCCATCTGGGCCCTAGAGATTGTCATGGCAGCGCGTTCAGTATCGCAGACATTACGCATATCGTGATGAGCCAACAGGGCAGTGACGACCTGCATGGCATCAGTGGCATGGACAATTCCTCCTGCTTCGCTAGTCAACCGTCCGATCAACATGCAGAGTGTGCACGCTGAAACGCCGTAACACCACGCAGCGGAGTGCACTTCGAGCTCACAGAAACGATAACGACGTCGACTAGTCCTACACTGCGCCAGGCAGACCCAGCTGGACTGCATCACCATCGTGACACTCGAGAAGCGGATGGGGCACGACGCGCAGAACGCCGACAGCTCCCACGCGACACCCGAGACGCAGCAGAGCTTTTTCAGACCCGGACAGTGTGGAGCACACGAAGGGCACCGCGACGCACGACAAGCAGAAGGGCTTCGCGGGCAAGGGCACCGCCGCGCACGAGACGTGGCAGAGCCTCGCCGACCCGGACGCCACGCTGGGCACCACGGACGTTTCGACGCACGAGCAGCAGTAGAGCTTCGCGGACCAGGACGAAGTGTTGGGCACCAGGACCACCGAGGTGCGCGAGCATGAGAGCTTCGACGACTAGGAGCAGCAGAGCTCCGCGAATCGGGGGCGCCAGGCAAAAAAAAACACCGCGTCGCACGGAGAGCAGCAGAGCTTCACAGACCAACCGGCGCCGTTGGGCAAGAAGGGCTCCGCGCCCCGCGAGGGCGCGACGCTGAGCAACACGGACACCGCGACGCACGAGCAGCAGCGTAGTTTCACCGACCAGGACGCGGCACTGGGCACCGAGGACACCGAGGCCTGCGAAGAGCACCAGAGCTTCGCAGACCAGGAGGAAGCGCTGGGCACGCAGGAAGCCGTGGCGCACGAGAAACAGCAGAGCTACGACGACCAGGACACGGCGTTGGGTACGTAGGAGCGCGAAGATAACAAGAATGCCAGGGTGCGCGAGATGCCGTGCGAATTGCTCGATCTCGTCTACGACTGCGCGGAGAGACGAATCTCGGAGGACTGCGTAGTCACGGACTCGTGGATGTACGCCAGGCTCGAAGAGTGGCTCGGAGAGACAGTCGCCGCTTGGACTGGCCTGTGCGTCTTCGAACATGACGACATTGGACGCATCGTGCGGCTAGTCACGACGCGCGGGGACCTGCAGGCATATACCGTCAGCGCAGATGAGGAGCAGAGCGGCGCCAGGAGCGACGGAACGACGGATGCCGACGCAGGGCGGGAGGAAGTTCCGCGAATCGCGGGTGCCACCCTGCCCGCGACCCTCTGTGCGGGGGAATGCGGTGCAGGCAGGGCCAGGGCACCCCGTGGCTCGAGCGCCCCCCTTGGACGAGGTGACCACAGCCTGGCCATGATACGTGTTCGAATTCTACGAGGACAGTGTGGCACAGAACTTGCCCGAGAGCTCGATCGATCCTCCTCCCCCCCTGACGAAACGCACCCGTGCGAAGCCTCTCGAGCCGCTCGAACGCCCTTCCCTCTCTGTCCTCCTTGCCCCTCTTCTCTCTGCCCTCCCTCCGCCTCCCTCCTCTCTCCCCCTCCCTTTTCCGTGGCCGTTTTGGCTCAAGATGCCTTGTTCCGCAGGGGGGCGCGTGGGGGCCGGTAGTCCGAGGTCAGCCCGAATCCTTGTCCCGACCCTCTCCTCATCTGGGCACACTTGCCCGCGGTGGAGTCCGTCCGCTCGGGAGGCTACGTGCAGCGCCAGCGGGGCTGCGGCTTCTCTACCAGCCTCGGCCATGTCCAACGCGTTCTCGTGGTGCAATGGCCGTGGGGGCTGGGCCTGCAAGATCCGTGTCGAGAACGACGGGGGCGGCTGTGCGAAGTGCGGGGAGGGCATTTCGCCGTGCGACCCGAAGCCCAGCTTCCGCTGGCCCACGAAGCGCCCGCCGTGGCGGTCAGGCGATCGGCCGCCAGCGCCCCGGGGGAATCCTGAGGTATCACTGTGCCAGCTGGCGCTCCTTCCTGAGCGCGTCGGTCCGATCTGGTCCGGCAGATCCACGTCAAGTGCGGGAAAGAACTCGAGCCCGAGCCCTGGCCCGAGAGCCCGCGCGTGGGGGTCCAAACCACCCTGCCAAGCTTGGACAAAGAGAACACGTGGCTGGCGAAGACCTCCCGCATCGTCGCCCGCGCCGAGCAGGACTTCGCCAGTGCCCAGAAGCAGTGCGAGGAATCCGTCGCCGAGCAGGTCAAGGGGCAGTCAAGAGGTTCTCGGCGAATGTGCAGAGGCCTCGCCAGCATGCTACTCCACCAGTCGGATACGCCAGCGACGGCGAGCGCATCATCTTCGCCGCGGATGACCAATTGTTCAGCGACCTGGCGGGGTTCGACGCCCAGCAGGAGGTGCTTCGAGGCATTGAGACGGAAACCGACAACAAATTTAAGCTAAGTTCAGGGTCTGCAGAAGACCGTCCACGACCACTGCGCCATAGTGCGCGCCATCCGACCGACGCGCCGAGAGGTTCTGTGGCGACGAAGGCCCGATCGCCAAGGGTCAGACTTGCGTGCGAGATGGCGGAGCAGCTGAACGGCCTGGACAACGAGATGCTGGTGAAGAGGGCGAGCCGTCCCCGACGCCCGCGGCACCTGCCTGGCCGAGGCTGCAGCCTCGTCGGCTGATGCCCCCCTCGCCTGCTGCCCCCGCAAAGCCGGGCCGTCCGGCTGCAGCGGGCCCCCGCGGGCCCTCGGCCCGCGGGTGGCGGGCCGCCCCGCGGCGACCCCGCCGCGGGTTCTAGTCTGCTTTTTGCGCGTCTCTGAGTGGGGCCTGGTTGCACGCGGGGTCGTTGGGGGCCGAGCGGAGGCGCGTGATGTTGCGGGCGTGGTTGAGGCCCGCGCCAATGGGGGCATGCGCGAACGTGCGATGCAAGAGTCGCCGAATGATGGGTGGAAGTGCGCGGCCGCCGCCCCCCGCGTTTCAGGCGGGTGCATGGCGGGCGTCTCTGGGGAGGTGGGTGGGGGTGGGCGCTCGCGATGAAGACCACCGCCTGCACCAGCTTCGAGTCCTTGCGTGAGACGGAGGTGCAGTGGAGCGGCCGCGACCCGTTCAACGGCCTCCCCCCCTGCCGTGGCGCTCGCAGGCGGGGGGCTCGTGATCGTGTCCCTTTGCCTCTTTCCCCGGTTAAATTTGCGCGGCGTTAACGGGCGCGCATCTATTCGAGTGGCAGCTTCTCTCAAGCACGCCGAGCATCCTTGGATTCGCGTGGCGGATTGGATCCTCCAGCCCCCAGGGTGGGAAGGCAGTCAGATTGACTGGCTCGGCAAGCTTGGCGGCGAGCTCGTCCTCCCAGCCAACGGCGAGGACGCCCGTGGCAGAGGTGCCGGCGCCCTCGTCGACTGCGTCGTTGCGAGGAGGGGGCTCCGCGCGGCGTCGGAGGTAGAGATCGCGTCCGAGGTCCCGTGGCAGACCCGCTCGCCAACGCGAAGTAGCGGGGGCGAGAAGCGCTGCGGAGGGCGCCCCCAGGAAGTATTCCAGGGGCTCCAGGAGGAGTCAGCTCCAGAGCGCCAGGATCATCTCGTCTCCTTCGACATCAAGATTGACGAGTGGGTGGCCGCTCAGCTGGTCCGCTATGACGGCGCTACCCCTCCAGCGAGCACTTCCCCCTCGTTGGGAGCACGGACTCGCGGCGCGCGGTGGCCCGCGAGCATGGCGAGTGGACCCCGGCGCTCGAGGTCAGCGCCCGCGACCATCGCGATGTGCTGCCAGCGGGCCGCCAACGGCTTCTTGGCCGAGCTAGAGGGTTCACGAGCGACTGGGCGCGCGCCGAAGGCCACCCCAGCCATCCCTCACGCGCGTCGCCCGCTGCTGGAGTGGTGACCCATTGGCGCGCCCCTCCTCGAGAAGTGCGCGTTGCTCAGGCGCGGCCGCGTGCTTTCTGAAGCCAGCGTGTGCCCCGGCAAGGTCAGGGAGTTGTCAGACGTTGCCCTCGACTCGGACTTTCAGAAGCCGTTCCAGGACGGCCCAGACGGCCAGTACGCCCCGCGGGTGGCCGCCGTCCGCGACCCCCCCCCGCCCGGCCCGACGCAGGCTCGGATGAGCTCGTCGGCGTCTTTGGGCACGTTCAGAACAGGGCGATCGGGGTGGCGTGGGCAGGCGGCGCAGTCAGCTCTGGGCAACGGCCCTGGTCGGTGCCTGACCGCGTCCTTGGGGCTAGTCTACGGCAGGCGCGACCCAGCCATCGCCATCCGTGGCGAGCATCCGTCGTCGTGGCTGCGGGTGTGGCGGGAAAACAATCAGTGCCACCGGCGTATTGTGGCTGCGTTGGGACAAGAACAGAGTGCGGCTCAGGCTTGCTGGGCGAGGAAAACGGGGTCGGCTCAGAGACTCCACCGCCACTGCTCATGCAACGTTATTTGGCGTCGGTTGGGGGGTCCACGTCGCCGATGAGTTTTGGGGCGCGGACCAGGTGCAAACGTGGCAGATCTCCTCCGCTGACGCACGCCCCGCCATCGACCGCTTCCGCGGCGACTTCGCCAATCTGCTCGACGACGTCGAGGCGAGCGTCCTGTGGTCTCTCTGGAGGCGCGCGTCAATGCGCGAGTCGGCGACTGACCTGACCGACGGCGCTGGCCTCCTGCGCGTGGCCTTCGAGCTCGCCCAGCTCGACGGCCAGATCGGCGTGGCAACGTCGACGACTGGGCCGTGGGCGTGGTCGTCGCCGCGGGAGGGCAGTGGCTTCGCGAGCGCATGCGGGTTGCAGGGTGCAGCCTGTCCTGCGCGTGTGATCGCCGTGGAGAGGACAATGGGATGCTGTGCCATCGCGTGTGGAGTTGTCGTGGGTACCGAGGCCACGAGTAATGCGATGCGTCGGAGTTCCCTTGTGAGCCCGTCAGAATTAGCCATGATAGCTGCCCTTGTTCTTGGCTCGGATTATTAATGTCGGAGAGGACCCCGCTGTTCGACGAGGGCGAAGCCCCAATCCGATTCGAGTTCGGTGGATTCGGAGCCCCCCCCCCCCGAGACGACAAAGGTATCGCTGCCGCGTTTGGGGGTGGGGCGGATGGGAGGTTCTCGGATGGCCCTCGGCGTCCAAGGGTTTGAAGAGGATATTTGTAGTGCTCGGGCCATCCGCGCCCTGGGCGGCCCCCTTGGGGCCCCGCGGCGGTCGTTGTCTTTCGGTGCCTGGCAGGCGCCAGACGGCCCCATCAGGTTGTTTTTCACGGCCGTGGCAGTGGCCCTCAATCCGTTCTTGGGCTGCTCCGTTTCGCAATGGACCATTCGCCGCTGCGCGACGATGGGCTCGGGGGTCGGCACCTTGACTTGCTGCGCCTCGGACCGAATGCTCACCGTTGGGCCA